TATTTTTTTCTGCCGAACATTCTTGTTTGGCTAGTTGAAGTAATAAAAAAAACTATATGCGTTATTTGCATTTTTTAGTTGTATATAATGGTATTTTGTAGTAGTAATAGTAGTAGGATAAGCAATTTCCATATTCAGGAAAGATTTACTAAATTTGCCTGTAAAAATACACTGATTCTCGTGTATGTTTGCTTGTGTGCGTGTGCATACATGTTTATATGTATTTATATATGTATGTATAAGTGAGTGGGCACTTGACTTATTGAACGTATGCTGCTGTATACATTACTACTACTAATACTACTATTATTACTATTAATAATATTAATATACCGAATAATGAACTGTCACATCTTTAAACTATTCACAAGACATATTGCTGCCCCACTTTTGAAAACGTGTACATCATTCTCCCCACACACACACAAACACACGAGAGCGCTCGCTCGCATTCGCCTACATGTAATAAAAGGCAGTTGGGAAAAAAAACGAACAGGCAGAATGGACAAATATCTACTAAATGTATATGTATATGCATATATATACATAAAGTCAGTTTTGTATAGCAAAATACGCAACTAATCGACCAAGTACAATGTAGGAAAAAACAAATCATAGAAACTAATATTCTCGTTCTGTTTTTAAATAACAAACAAACAAAGAAATAACGACAAGTAGCTAAAAATGAAGATGGATAGAGAGCCAGAGAGAGAGAGCTGGAAAGAGCTGAACAGAGAGACAGAAACATAGACATTGACACTAAAAGAAATCGGTTAAAGAAAATCGAATTCAGATTTCAAAAGAATGTTGTTTTGTATTTTATTTTTTCTGAAAAAAAATATTCTTTCTTGTTTATGATTGCATTATTTGACTTAATAGATTTTGACAGTTTAAGGTCAACCAACCCGTTTCGTGAGCGTTCATTTGTATATGTCCTGTTGTCTGTCTGTTTGTCTATCTATCTAGTTGTTTATGTGTGTGTTGTACACTGATGTCGAGAGGAGAATACACTACCAGTAGTTAAAATGAAATTCTACACGCAGTGCTTTTTTTTCTTTCAGACAACAACACAGTTTGATAAATGGGCATGTATCTAACTATAATGTCTCTTATTGTGTTTGATTTTGACAAAGTTTGGATAGAGAATTTTTAAGAAAAATTGAAAAAAACTAACCAACTGTTCCAGCATCAACAACAAACAACAATTTTGATTCATTCTCCCTTTAGAATGAATAAATTTTCATTCTCCCTATTCTCGTCAGCATTCTCCCCATTCATTTCATTTCAATCTTTCTATTTTGTATTCTCAACTTATGTTTAAAACACAAAGAGAGAGAGAGAGTAAGAGAGGGCGAACTGAATGAAAAAATCCTTAGAGAGAAATCGATTGTTCCTACCAGAAAAAAAAAAGTAGAGAAAAATTCATTGTTTTTTTTTACCATTCGATATGAAATTCAATCTTGCGCTTGATTTAATTTCTGATCAAATTATGATCCTTTTTTTTACACTCTGAAACAGTTTTTCATGGATGATTGTATAGTAGGATTAAAATCTTTATTCTGTCTCATGTATCTTTTAAGTAGTATAACAGTAGAGTTACTATCGGAAAGTAAAGTGTTCGATCTATGAACGATTCTGAGCCATGTCGTTCAAGGTCTCTAACCATTGGTGACTTTCGTCTCGCGGACCCCAACTAGGTAGCCTACATCAACCAACATGACTGAGTCCACCTGTCAGTGACTTCATGGATTTCTGCAATGTTTTGGTTTGGCCGCCCCTAACTTTCTTCCAACCTACTCCTAAACCACAAAACATAGCTCGTCGAGGCAGTCGGTGGTTAGTCATACGTAACACATATCCCAACCACCTCAACTGATGAGGTTTCACTACTTCATCTATTGATTTGCCATCCCTACCTAGAACTCGTTTCCTAACGACAGCATTGCTTACTCGCGGTTGTCCCATGATACACGAGTAATGCTTTGGAGACATCGATAATCGAAGACTAGTAACTTACGGAAGTCCTCTACTCTTAATGACCAAGTCTCGCATCTGTACAGTAAGTCAGAGCGAACTGCTGCGCAGAGTACACTCCTCCTTTGCTTAACAAACGAATATCTCTCCTACGCCATAAGTGACGCAACTTGGTAAAAGCCAATCGAGCCTTCTGTATCCAAGCTGAGATTTCATCAGTCACCAAGCCATCATCACTAATCTCTTAACCATTGAGCCTACTTCCAAATTATTTATGATCGTATAACATCGATCCAATTATATATATAATTTCAATGAAATGCAATCAGTTCATAATGAAAATAAAAATCTCAATACTCATTGAATATTTTATTAAATTAACAAAAATATATTTTTTTCTCATAATTCTTAAGTCACAATATAATTTGATACATAGCTAGCTAACTGTATTCATTTTTTAAAAATTAAATTGTTATATTATCATCATGTCATTTGATTTGAATGATGTGTAACATGGATCGATACAAATTACATCTCTCGCACATATGACATCATTGTTCATGACTAACTAATACGAATCAAATAAACACAGATCATTTTAGGTTTAAGATCTAGTTATATGTTCGTCTAACTAAAATCATTGCATAATATGACATGACTGTCTTTATTGAGTGAAGTTTTGTTCTCTGAACTAAGGATGTTTTGCTGGGTAAGCCTTTCGTTCTTCTTCTGGTGAGCAACATCATCATCAGCACAAATATCAGACAAATAGAAGTGAAGTATTCGATCAAGATCAAGGTTAACAGAACAGTCTACGAGTCCGACTTCACTTCTAACAAACTATGATGTTGTTCAGTAGAAATGTAGTGAAGGCGGACACAGATGAGGGCAACCGAATTGTATTTAACGAAAATTACAGAGCTACTCAGTAAAATAGGAAAACCATATCGTAACCAACGTTAGTTTGCAAATCTTCAATCCATTGTCCGAAATTTCACTTATTCATGCGTTTCATACAAATTCCATTGTGTTCTTCTAACTTTTCCTTTCTTGATCTTCCCCCATCTTCTGCTGCCACCAGACATTACGTTTGCACAAGCGTCATATACTACTTATAAGTAGCGCTCAACACAGAAGAACAATGAAACGCTCCACAATCGAAACATCCATCCATTTCAGAGAACCCACCTGAGCTACACAAATTTTCTCAACCATCTCTCGTTTTTTCTTCAATGTCTCCCTCTCTCTCTCTCTCTCTCTAATATTCGATATAATAACACAATTCATTCATTCATACTCACACTCAAATAAAATATCGATTTTTCAGTTTGAAAAATTCAGATTCAACCATATTTGAAATGAAGATAAAAGAAAAAAAAAAATGATGCGCCAATATGGCGTCAGATTGATTTGTCTTTTTAAAAAAATTGAATAAAAACAAAAGAATATTTTTTTGTTTTTCTCTTCCGATCAAATGAAAAAAAAAAGACGAAAAAGAAACTTGGAAATTGTTTTTTTATTTTGACTAAAAAAAAAATTGCACACAAAAATGAACATGTTACGGTGTGTTATTGTAATTATCACTCACTTATTTATTTTATAAAAGATTGTGAAGTGTGTTGGTTGAATTTGAATTGTGTTTGAAATTATTAACTGATCAATGGGCTACTCACTAGTGATGATTAGTTTTGAGAGGAAATTTCATGGAGTTCTAGTGAGAAGATGTGATCAGTGGAATTCATCAACCCTGTCGGGTGTAGGCAGTAACTGCCGAGGACAAATGGATGAGGTCAAGCAAAAACCCTTAGCTTGATCAGAGATAGACATTAACACTGTGAGATACTGGTCCAGTGGTCCAGAGGTTAGGCGTTCGTGCACAAGCATGAAGGTCATGGGTTCGAATCTTTCGAGGTGACAAGAGTCACTACTGATGAGTCCTAAACCAGGACGAAACGGCCATCCAGTGCTTTCAGATTTCTGATGGTGGTTTAACAATGATTGATTGGTGATTTCAACCTGTAAAAACACTAATCTCCTTAACTCTAATTGATCAATGAATGTTTAGACACCATTCTATTAAAAAGAAACCTAGGGGGTCTGCACGGGTGGACAAACTTTTATATCGTGCTATCGGTTTCTAATAGGTGGGAGGGAGTCTCACAATGATTGATTGGTCGATTCCTGATTTCAATTTAATTGTATTTATGATTATTTCTAACGATATGCAATATGTTGGGGATGTTAGATTGTCAGAACTGGCTTGATAAATGTTCCTAATTTTACATTTTATTTATAAGTTGGTCAGTTGACCTTGAGATTACATTTGATTATGATTGGTCAAGTGAACCCTCATCATGCCTCAATTCAATTGTCAATAACTTCATTGCATTGTAGAGCTATAGAGATTGTTGGCAATCAGTTGAAATCATCAATCGATCATTGTTAGACAAGTATTAGACGAAACATGCAACCACTGGATAACATTTTTCATTCTAGTATGCCAGTCATCAGCAGTGTGTATCCAAAACTCCTACAACTCTCAGGGTTCGAATCCAGAACCCTTTTGGTCTTGCATTCGAATACTTTCCATGTAAATGACTGTTGGAGACCTTAGATACCCAGAACTCACATGATAAATGTCTTAATTTTGGATTTTATTCATTGGCTAATCATTTGAGCTTGAGATCACACATTTCCCCACCAAGTAAATCCTTGACTATCATTGGTTATTATGTTATAAATAAACTCGATTTGTGTACTTGAGAGCATTGTGCTTACTGAGTGTTTATAGAATACACGTTCTACGCTATATAAAAAGTTTTTCGTTAGTACATATGGGTTAACGGATCAGAGTAGCCTACCTGGACACTGGTTCATTGTCTCATTCTCGTTTATCAACTAAGCTGAACCCGTAATAGTTCCCAGCATAGCAACGTGTTTTTTTCTTAATCGTTGAATCATTCTATTTATTCCGTTTATACTTACAAAGTTGGTCATTTTTTTTTCTCCGCTTCGTCTTTTTACAGAATTCACCTGACACGTACACATCAATGAGTCGTACATCGTGTAATAAGCAACTTAACAATAATAATAATATCAAAACTTCACCAGTCGATATAAATTCTACTTGTGATGAACATCAAACTATTAGTGACAATGATAATACTACTAACATTACCATTACAACTTCTGTGACAAGTACTTCAACATCCAACTTCCCCAATACACATTCATATCATCCTGTGAATGCACCGACATCAACATCCTCCTCTACATCCTCAATTGATCCTACATCAATGATTAATGTTGTTGGTACAGATCTATCCATGGTAACACAGACGACGACTACCACTGCTACAACATCATCATTACCGAATGAACCAATCAATTCATTACAGTCAAGATCATGTGATTCGACAGGATCTACAGGCCTAGTAAATTCACCGAATTCTTCATTGGCTACAACAACAACACCAACACCAACACCACCAACACATCATATTAGCCATAGTAATAATAATACAATGAAACGTAAAAGTAGTTTGACTATCAGTGAAGATGATTTAACAACAACTACCAATACTACTAATACTACTAATAATAGTAGTAGTAATGTACAATCCTATTACCCAACAACTTATCCAACTGTATCAACGATCAGTGGATCAAATAATTTATTGTATACTGGAATAAATCATAACTCGAGTACTACAACTAGTACAACAACCACAACTACTACTATAAATAGTAATCCTCACCGTTTATCCACAAATAATCCTATTCATGGTGGAACACATCATACACAATTAAATTATTCCGATATAAATACAAGACATAATAATAATACTACTACTAATAATAATAATAGTAGTATATCTCAGTCAAATTTATCATCATCAAGTGGAATGAATTCTGGATCATTAAATAATGTAAATATTGGACATGGCGGTATGATGAATAATAATAATAATAATACTAATAATACAGAGACAAGTATACATAAAGCAAGATCAGCATTATATGAGTAAGTATTTCGTCCGTGTATGTGTGTGCTTCATCAGTGTTTTCTGGGTATTTTATGTTGTAGAATGAAAATTTTATGGTTTTATTGAATTTTCCGAGTGAATATTGAGTTGAAAAACATATAAACATATGATTAGTTGAGTTTTTCTTATAATCCCTATTTGTCTATAACAATAAATATATATATATATATATATATATATATATATTATCTAGGGAGTTTCATCAGTACTGATTTCGCCTGGTGACTGGCGAAATTTTAGCACGGATACAGAAAGCTACATTGACTTTTGTCAACTTGAGTCACCTATGGTGCAGGTGAGATATCCGTTTGCTAACCAAAGGTTGAGTGTACTGAGTAGAAATTTGATCTGTCCTACTATACGGATGCGAAACATGGTCAGTTACAGTCGCAGATATTCGTAGGTTGCTTGTTTTTGATCATAGGTGTCTCTGAAGCATAGCTCGAGTAACCTGCTGAGACAGCCGAGTAAGCAATGCTGTCGTTAGGAAACGAGTACTAGACAGGGATGGCAGACAAATAGATCAAGTAGTGAAATCCCATCAGCTGAGGTTGTTGGGACATGTGTTACGTATGCCTAACCACCGACTGCCTCGACGAGCGATGTTTTGTGATGTTGGAGTAGGTTGGAAGAAAGGTAGGGGTGGCCAAACCAAAAACACAGAAGAAATCCATGAAGTCGCTAACAAGTGGACTGAGTCATGTCGGTAGATGTAGGCTACGTGGTTGGGGTGCACGAGACGATGGTCACCAATGGTTAGAGACCTTGAACGACATGGCTGAAAATCGTTTGCAATGGCGCAGGTGCATCCACTCTTTATGTTCTATGAAATTCTAAGCTTCTGCATTCCTCATCATCTCTATTTTTCTAACTTTATCTCTCTAAATTATACTTCTTGGATAATATCATCGAACCCTAATATTCTCCATTACTGCTAATACTTCTACTATCTCTACCACGATTGGACTTGAACTAACATTTTCGTCTTTGTGCTAATGTGGTATGGCAACCTGAACTCTATTTAGATGAACACTACAAGCGAAACACAGTAATTACTCGATAAATATTTTATCTTACAATGGAACTCTTCAAGAATATATACTTGAACTGCATTAAAGAATGAACACGAGAACGTTCAGTTCTAATGTTGTTGAATTTGTGCATTCTTCATAGACTGACTCATATAAGGAATATGTTTGTTTTATTCTTTAGTTTTTCGTTGTTAAACAACGCCATATGATTGTTACATTGAACATTGAAAATTGAATTCAATGTAGAAGAGTATATTAGTTTGTTCGTTTTTTTTTTCAATTTACACAAATACATTGGTAAATATTTCTCGTAATTATTTCAAACTGCCTAATTTTTACAACTCATTAAAAATAATTTTATTTTATTACTAAAATTATTATTCTTTATCCTTTAATTTCTAACTACAACTCAGCAATCAATATTCAATCTGTTGTAGAGCAAAAAAATTTAATTGTTAATTAACTGACTCGACGATTTAAACTATCGAAAATAATCCATTTTTTCCCTGATGTGTTGTTTCATCATCGATCAACCTTTTGAAATTTTCTGATTGGTTGAGATCAATCTAATCAACCAATTAAAATGATCCGTTTATATGATTGGTTCACAACATGTCAATAGTATTCAAATATTCAATTAGATTTTATCATATTCCTAGGATTTTTAATATTCTATATGTATAATGCCTCACTCACACCTGAAAGATTGAGAATTCGTATTACTAGAAAAACGAATTAAATTGAACTATTGATCTGTTCAAATAGTTTTATTTAGTAGTTGTCAAAGTTCACTACGGCTTGTCAAGGTCATTTTACTGTAAAAAGGGATCCTGTTTATCGCCATTTTGATCGAAACAAACAATAGCTAGGAAGTTAGTGAAAATCTTCATACTTGATTATAGTGTAGTGAACGAGAACACAGGTGGGGGGCAACCGAATTGTATTTAAAGAAAATTACAGAGTTACTCAGTAAAATCGGAAAACCATATTGTAAATTGTTCATTTGCAAAATATCAGTCCATCCTATAGAACTGGACTATTCCTGTTGCAAGACATCAATCCATTGTCACTATTCATGCGTTTCATACAAATTCCATTGTGTTCCCACTCTTCTTACTTTCTTGATCTTCCCCCATCTTCTGCTGCCAGACATTACGTTTGCACTCGCGTCATATACTACTTATAAGTAGCTCGCACCACAATAGTAATAATAATAATGATAATATGTTGGTGAGTGATTAGTTTAAAAGTGTACTTCCTAAAATTCGAACTGGAAGCTTTGCCTTTTAGAGTTAATCTAGTCAGGAATCACGGTTCATGATTCGATATGTTAATAACAAGATCCTACAGTAAACTTTACCTTTGAAAAGCGATTGATAAATAGGGAAAAAGTTGAGTCACTGGATTTCATTCAGTTAGTTTATGTTGATTAACTTTGGACTATAGGATAGAATATCAGTTTTTTAAAGTTACCAACTGACTTACTGTCACCTGTTACACACAATAGAGCATAGGTCTCCGACCAGCCTTTTCATATCTACGCTGTCTTGGGACTTCCTTTGCAGTTCTGTCCATTCTTTTCATGTCTACCTTCATTGTTCAGTATAAGTTCCTTTGACTTTGGAGGATCTCAGGTCAATACTTGTCTTGTGATGATGGAGTTAGTTGCTTTCCTCAAACTGTATCCTATCCAACTTCCAACACTTTTCCCTAATTTCTTCCTATGCTAGGAATCTGTTTTTATCATCTCCCACAATTTTACTGCATAGTGATGATGCAGAAGAGGAGATTAAGCATTCGCCAGTGCAAGACCGAATCCTGTGACTAAAAGAAGTCATAGATAGATAGATAGATAGATAGAGATACACTACGCACTACTAGTGAGATGAGTCCCCATATACCAGGATGAAACAGCCATCCAATGCTTTTAATGCTTTTAATAATTTAACAATGATTCATCTGTGTTGAACTATGTAAGATACACTATACACATACATATATTTTGTTTGCCTTTAATATTTCATGGTTGTAACTTTCGTGCATTACCAAAAGATCAAATTTTACAAGTGTAGAGTAGAGAGAGAGAAAGAGAGAGGGAATATTTTCCCATTATCAGCTAGCTGTATGCCATGCATAAATATAAACAGTTGTTCGTGTGTGTGTATGTCTGTGAGCCCATCGAGTTACATAGATAGATAGATAGATAGATATGTCGATAGATAGATAGGTAGATAAGATATTGATGTTTGGCGATTTTAAACGATAACATATAGACGCAGTTAGATCTACTATTTATGTACTTGTGCGTGTGTGTGCGTGTTTGTTGTTGTTGCTATAATCGCTTCTACCAGTGTGAATGTTATTCTTTCCGAGATTCTAAAAATTCCATTAATCAAACCTGTCAAAATTCTGTTTCTTTTTGCCTTAATCCTACACTACACACACACACACACACACACACACACACACACAAGAGACTATTTATTATTAAACAAGGTTGTTTGACTTTTTAATAAACACAAAATTTCCAACAGTCGTATGTTTCCGCCTGTGTGTGTGTAGACATGTACGCGCATGTGTATGTATGTGTGTGTTGTTCCTGTTTCATTTTTCACCTAGTTCCTTAACAAGTATGCGGATGATTTGTATTATTCTTATAAGTAGTAATATTAGTAGTAGTATATACATAATTTTTTTCAAAAATAGAAAAATGTTCCTTATTACTTATGCATTTGCATACATATATAAATATGTGTATTGTGTAGACATGTAGGTAACAGAAAGAAATTCATTGCCCTAATACAAACGTACTTAGATATATATATATATATCCTCTAGATTTCCCTGTCGTATAATCGACTTTTATTAAATTCTATTTCCCTTTATAAGCTGAATATTATCGTTATTTTGTATATAAATGATCTAACTTGTTCTGGTCCAGTTAGTTTCATGCTAACAAATATAAAAGTTGTGTTTTTGTGAATTTTTCATTCTCCCGATACATTTTTCAAGAAGAAGAAGAAGCGGAATCCTATCGGTGCGTCCTTCCCTGTATGTGTGTGTGTGTGCGTGTGTCACGAAGGCAACTGAGCGATTTTCCCACACACCGACACACAATCATCCAGTTTATTCACTTGACATGATTTCATTCTCGCTGGTTCATTTCGTTATAATTTCTTCGCAATTGTGTGTGTGTGCGTGTGTGTGTGGATGTGTTCGTCGGATGACTGTTTTTTTATTTCAAATGTCAAGATGATTCGATTTCTTTTCTCATATATGTTCCCGCTCTCTCTCGCTCTCTCTGTGTGTACCGAACTGGTGAACATTTTGTTTTTATATAGGAAAAGTTAACTAACATCTACAGATTATTCATTTGTAAAGACTATAAATCATGTTGTTTTTTTAAAAAAAATCTTCTGAATGGTAAATGTACGCTTTCTCTCGCTCACTTTCCCTCTCACACACTCACTCTCTCCATTTCTCTTGTTTTCTGTTTCCTACATAGCCGTTCGTTTGTAGCGGTATTTTCCATGCTCTTTCTGTCTCTCTGTGTATGTCTCTGCTGTTGTATGTGTGTGTGTCTGTGTGTGTGTGCGTGTGTGTGTGATGCTTATAGTAGTTTGCCTTAAACGAGTGTTTTTTTTGACTGCTGTTGTTGTTGTTGTTGTTGTTAGTTTGCAGCTACTGGAATCGATCAGCTCTTGATGTTGTTCATTTGAAAAAAAATAATACACAACCTTAGAGATAAATAATGTTTAAACTTAAGATAAGGCGAAAGAGAGAGAGAGGTTAGAATAAGGATGGAATAAACAAACCGATACGGAGGGGCTGGGGGGAGGTTTTGCGAAACATCCATACTTTAAACAAGTTTCATTTTTTTGAATAGTTTTAAATGTCATTAACAATATAAAAATATTTTTTTTTTGGATAGCAAGTGGAATATAGGA